CCAGAATTCAGAAGAGACAGGGAAGAAGAGAGGAGAAACGGCTCAAGGAGGCGACCCCGGGTATTCGTCAGAACGTCACCCCAAAGAGAATGACGACAATTGAAGTCACCCAGCAGGAGAACAGGCTCCGGCAAGGAGTCCAGGAGGTGTTTCAAATCAGGAAGAGAGAGCGGGACACTCGGGGGGAGATAAATGGAACAAACTGTGTACCATTTCCCCACAAAGATACGAGCAGCAGAACAATGGAGAGGCGAAGGAAAAAGTAAAGGAACAAAGGGAACATCAGCCCGAATCAAGAGAGCAGAAGAATTAGAAGCCCCAGCAATGGCTGGGGGGGGGGGAGAGAAAGGAATAGCCACGAAAACGACCAGGACGAGCACCAAGCATTGGCTCCTGGAGACAGACACAAAGGGGCGAAAACCGCGAAATCAGAAGTTGGAGTTCGAGGAAATTGGCGTAATAACCTCGAACGTTCCACTGAAGAATGGACAACGACGAGAAGAGAAAGGACAAAAACAGAGAACAAGGAAGAAACAAAGGCGAAAGAGCAACAGAGAACGTTAAAGAATATCAAGGTCGGGATCAAGGTCAGCAAAGTCAGGTTAGGGGGCATGGGTAAACTGAGCAAAGACGGAGGGAAGGAAACGGGAGAACAGATCAGAGGTGGGCGGGCAGGGTCCGGAGGAGGAGGAGGAGGAGGAAGAGGAGGAGACAACGGAGAGGAGCCGTCAAGGACAGCAGCAGGAGGAGGGGGGAGTAGAAAGAGGGGAGCGCACCCCAGCAAGAGCAGCAACCGAAAGGGAAGCAGGGGCCAAAGAAACCTCCATAGCAGGAACAGGGGGCGCAAGCACTGAAACGGGAGGGGAAGGAGCAACAGAGCCAGAAGGAGGAGCTGAGGAAGAAAGCGAAGCCTTCTTACCCGCCGGGGAAGAGGAAGGAGAGGAGCCAGGCTTACGCTTCTGACTTAAAGAGACCGGTGTCCCAGCAACTACGTACCGGGCAACGGATTCCAGTGTCTCGACAGGAGAAGCCGAACGAGAGCACACACGACGGCCGTTAGGAGAGCGATGGACATCCGCCCGCACCGACAGGCGGTGGGGAGAGCCGATAGATGGAGGAAGAGGATGGGAAGGAGGATCGGAGGGGGACGAGGAAGAAGACACAGAAGACACGACAGACCGGGTAGAAGGAAGGGGAACCCCAGACAGAGGACCAGGAGGAGGATCCTTCGGGAGAGAACCCAAAGGAACAGAGGAGGGGGCAGTGGGCGCATCAGGGTCCAAGGCCCGGAAACGGTTGTGAGTCTGAGGAAGGCGGGAAGGACGAGGAGAGGAAGAGCGCAACACGCGAGCATAAGAGATATTAGCATAAGGCGGGAGCCGGCGAACCTGGCGCCTCGCCTCAGGAAAAGATAAACGCTCCCGGTGCTTCAGGTTGAGGACGGCTGCCTCAAGCTTGTAATGGACACACGCACGGGAGAAGGTAGGATGGGCCTCACCGCAGTTGAGGCAACGAGCCTGGGGAGAAGTGCACTCCGACTTAGAGTGACCTTCGCCACCACACAAAGGACAGAGAGAGACAGTCCCGGAGCAGCGGAGGGCACCATGCCCAAACCTCCAGCACTTGTTGCAGAGCCGAGGAGAATGAATGTACTCCTGGACAGAGCACCTGGCACCAGCAAGAATGACAGAGGGTGGAAGGGTCCTACCATCAAAGGTAATCTTCACAACCCGGAGGGGTTGACGGCGACTACCACGAGGGGGACGAGTAAACGTGTCCACCTGGAGAATAGAATGGCCCTGGGCAGCGAGGATATGTCGAATATCGTCGTGGCAGTCGCGCAGGTCCCGAACACCGGTTACAACATGGGGCGGGAGCAAAATAGTGCCAACACTGGCATTCAACTGAGCGTTCTTCGAGACCCGAACAGGGGTCTCGCCAAGGCAGGATAAGGCAGCCAATCGGGAAGCAGCATCCTGAGAAGGAGCAGCAACGACACGTGTACCGAGACGAGTGGGGTTGAAAGTAATGGAGGCATCCACGGAATCAATGAGATGTCGATGAAGGGAGAAACCATCAGGAGGCGCAGAATCAAGAGGGAGGAGATCAAAATATTTGGCCCACGAAGCGGGACCAAACAAGGCTTGATAGGTAGCAGAACTGGAAGGAATCGAGCGAGGGCGGCCGTGACGAGGACGGCGGTGAGAACCCCCAGAGAGAGAGGGGTTAAAAGGCGCAGTAGTTACAACTAGAGAAGGAGCCGCGCCAGGGGACGAGGTAGTCACTACTGGGGGCTTGGGGCTCGACCCAACCACAGAGGAGGGAGGGGAGCCAGGGGAAGGAGTCAGAGAGGCCAAAGGAGGAGCAAGGTCGGGGCCCAATGCAGCGGAGGCTACAGAGCCCGGTCTTCCAATACGGACCGACTCGGGGGCTTGGTCGCCCACCCCACGAGCCTGAGAAGGGAAGCCAGAAGCAGCCGAAACAGGGGTTATCATCTTGACGAAAAGAAGAATTCACTCACGAATGTGCCCCCACACCCACCATGGAGCCACAATTAGAGGCAGGACACCCAACAAGAAGCTATCGCCGATCTTGTCGGGGCCTCCTAGGGGTGCATCGTGAGTATACGCCCCACAAACGCCACCTTAAGAAACCGACAGTCCGTCGAGATCGGGTTCAGTGACGAAGTGGGGATTGACAATAAAAGGTTCCCCTCGCTCTCGACGTCGGGTACTGCAGTTCTACGGGTGCATGAGTATGCCTCCTCAAGCACCCGGGCGTCAAAATAGAAGAAGTCCATGGAAGAACCAGAACGAGCAAAAGGTCGGCAGGAAACGGCAAGCAGATAGGAGAAGAGGGGGGAGAAAAACGAAACAGAAGGAAAAGGAAAAGGTGCCCAGCAGAATTGGAGAGGACGGCAGCAGGAGCACAAGGCTAGAAAAGGACAGAGGACTGTCCTAAGGAGCATCACACTCCGGCAGCCGCCCACGAAGCCCCCACACGGCGACAACGAGCTGAGCGGGGAGGGGGTCTGCTACTGAAGATTCTGACTTCGATGGCTCCCATATAAAAATTACCAAATAACACTCCTAAGGGGGAGCCCATTGCTACTCCGTCTATTGGTAGATACATGTCCCTTTGTGGACTGATGAAAGGAGCTTCCTTTGTACATGCCTTGAGAAGACTCTTCAAGTGTGGCTCAGGTATGTCTAATTTGGGGGTGCTCTCGTCTCTGTATACTCTGTCCAGTATCATTTCTATGGTTGTGTCGACTGGGACGTTGGTAAATAGGGATTCGACGTCCAGGGAAGCAATGATTCTACCGGGCTGAGTAGTTTTGATGAATTTTAGGAAATCTGCTGATGATTGTAGACTATAGTTGCTTGCGGTGTATGGAGTTAGGAGTTCGTTAAGTCTTTTTGCCAGGTGATAGGTTGGAGTTGGTATTTGGCTGATTATTGGGCGTAGTGGGTTACCTGGTTTGTGTGTCTTAACATTGCCATAAGCATATCCTAAGCCATAGTCGCCTTGGAGTTTAGTGAAATGAACACTTCCTTTCATTGCGTTGATTGCAGTAATAGTTTTGTTCACTTTGCGTTTAAGGTCTTCCACAGTGTTCCTCGTGATTCGTTGAAATTTAGTGTCATCACTAGGGATGTCGCTAATATATATATATATATATATATATATATATATATATATATATATATATATATATATATATATATATATATATATATATATATATATATATATATATATATATATATATATATATATATATATATATATATATATATATATATATATATATATATATATATATATATATATATATATATATATATATATATATATATATATATATATATATATATATATATATATATATATATATTATATATATATATATATATATATATATATATATATATATGTCGTACCTAGTAGCCAGAACGCACTTCTCTGCCTACTATGCAAGGAGCGATTTGCCTAATAAGCCAAGTTTTCCTGAATTAATATATTTTCTGTAATTTTTTTCTTATGAAATGATAAAGCTACCCATTTCATTATGTATGAGGTCAATTTTTTTTATTGGAGTTAAAATTAACGTAGATATATGACCGAACCTAACCAACCCTACCTAACCTAACCTAACCTATCTTTAAAGGTTAGGTTAGGTTAGGTAGCCGAAAAAGTTAGGTTAGGTTAGGTTAGGTAGGTTAGGTAGTCGAAAAACAATTAATTCATGAAAACTTGGCTTATTAGGCAAATCGGGCCATGTATAGTAGGCAGAGAAGTGCGTTCTGGCTACTAGGTACGACATATATATATATATATATATATATATATATATATATATATATATATATATATATATATATATATATATATATATATATATATATATATATATATACATACAGATATGTACTTTTGTATGTAACATTAATAATTGCGTAACTAGCTTCACAAAATTGTCACTTGCTTAGCTAAACGAACTATGGGTTCAGTTCATGAAGCCATATGTGCCTCTGTATCTGCACCCAGGATGGGTATGGGGTGCATAATATAGGAAGAAATGGAAAATTGTTGTAGTCTAATATTGTAACTATATAGCATGGAATGGATATAGGGGACAAGGAGATGGGATAGGAGGAAGGGGTGAAAGGACGGTGCCCACCAACTTGGACCATCGGGGTGTTGAACACCGTTGGTCTACATACATTACACAGGAGTACGTTATGGAGCCATTCATACACTACCCTTTATTCCAATGATAAGTTTGCTCTCTAAAGGAAATACCACTTGCCTCATACTCCTCATATTCAGTACAGTTTTGTATAAACCTTTTTTTTAATTATCATTCATTATTCTACAAACATTACATATTATTCAATATTCAATATAAACTTGAATATACAGGAGAACTTAAACGAGCTGTGAATTAGTTAAAAATAATTTCGTAATGACAATGCGTCACCAGAGAGAATACTCACGTGAGTCCCTCAGGTACACCACAAGATGTCCGAACTCTGATAAGTTGTCAAACTTGACCAAGTCCCCATAGATGGCCCGGCAGAACTGTCTCGCTTCTGACCACGACACCTGTGATGGAGAGGACACACCTGAAACACACACCTGTGATGGAGAGGACACACCTGAAACACACACCTGTGATGGAGAGGACACACCTGAAACAGACACCTGTGATGGAGAGGACACACCTGAAACACACACCTGTGATGGAGAGGACACACCTGAAACAGACACCTGTGATGGAGAGGACACACCTGAAACAGACACCTGTGATGGAGAGGACACACCTGAAACAGACACCTGTGATGGAGAGGACACACCTGAAACAGACAACTGTGATGGTGAGAGAGTGGACACCATTTATCTGGACCCCTGTTGTGGTGGTGGTGGTGGTGGTGGTGGTGGTGGTGGTGGTGTGTACACTAATGTCCTGGACACCTGTGGTTGTGGGGGGGGGGGGTAGGGGTGGGGTAGACATTGCGTGTATTTACAATCTTCAAGGCATTACGAGATCAATCTATATATTCTTAATAATACTATAAAATGATATTTTTAATGCAGAAGAGCAGCCATATTAGCCTATTAAGGTAAACATTGCCTTAAATAGTCATTATAATTAAAGGGTGAGAGCGGGTCATCTCCAGCTCAATGCACCAGAGATAAATGACCTTTGCCTGACCTTGGCCGGGGAGAAGAGGGCGAGGCAGCGCTGGCCCACCAGTGTGTACAACATGGGACAGTCCCGCTCCTCGGTCTTCAGAGAGGAGTTGACGGCGGACGTCAGCACCACCATAACCTCACTGGCTGGGGGCAAGAAGGTTATGGTTAGGTGGTCAAGCGGAAGGCGCCCGTGTTGGTGGAGGAGAATGTCAGTGACTGGTCATGGGGGAGGGCCATGTTGGTGGGAGAAAATGTCAGTAACTGGTTATGGGGGAGGGCTATGTTGGTGGGAGAGAATGTCAGCAACTGGTCATAGGGGAGGGCCATATTGGTAGAGGAGAATGTCAGCAACTGGTCATGGGGGAGGGCCATGTTAGTGGGAGAGAATGTTAGTAACTGCTCATGGGGGAGGGCCATGTTGGTGGGAGAGAATGTCAGCAACTGGTCATGAGGGAGGGGCCATGTTGGTGGGAGAGAATGTCAGTAACTGGTCATGGAGGAGGGGCCCATGTTGGTGGGAGAAAATATCAGTAACTGGTCATGGGGGAGGGGCCATGTTGGTGGGAGAGTATGTCAGCAACTAGTCATAGGGGAGGGGCCATGTTGGTGGAGGAGAATGTCAGCAACTGGTCATGGAGGAGGGGCCCATGTTGGTGGGAGAGAATGTCAGAAACTGGTCATGGGGGAGGGGCTCTTGTTGGTAGGAGAGAATGTCAGCAACAGCTCATGGGGGAGGGCCATGTTGGTGGGAGAGAATGTCAGTAACTGGTCATGAGGGGAGGGCCATGTTGGGGGATTAGAATGTCAGCAACTGGTCATGGGGGAGGGCCCATTTTTGTGGGAGAAACTGTCAGTAACTGGTCATGGGGGAGGGCCATGCTGGTGGGAGAGAATGTCAGCAACTGGTCATGGGGGAGGGGCCATGTTGGTGGAGGAGAATGTCAGCAACTGGTCATGGATGAGGGCCATGTTGGTGGGAGAGAATGTCAGCAACTGGTCATGGGGGAGGGCCATGTTGGTGGGAGAGAATATCAGTAACTGATCATGAAGGAGGGGCCATGTTGATGGGAGAGAATGTCATCAACTACTCATGGAGTAGTGGCCCATGTTGGTGGGAGAGAATATCAGTAACTGATCATGGAGAAGGGGCCATGTTGGTAGTAGAGAATGTCAGAAACTGGTCACGGGGGAGGGCCATGTTGGTGGAGGAGAATGTCAGCAACTGGTCATAGGCGATAAGCCCATGTTGGTGGGAGAGAATGTCAGCAACTGGTCATGGGGGAGGTCCATGTTGGTGGGAGTGAATATCAGTAACTGGTCATGGGGTAGGGGCCATGTTGTGTGGAGAGAATGTCAGTAACTGGTCATGGAGGAGGGGCCATGTTGGTGGGAGAGAATGTTAGTAACTGGTCATGGGGGAGGGGCCATGTTGGTGGGAGAGTATGTCAGCAACTGGTCATGGGGGAGGAGCCATGTTGGTGGAGGAGAATGTCAGCAACTGGTCATGGGGTAGGGCCATGTTGGTGGGAGAGAATGTCAGCAACTGGTCATGGGGGAGGGGCCCATGTTGGTAGGAGAGAATGTCAGAAACTGGTAATGGGGGAAGGGTTCTTGTTGGTAGGAGAGAATGTCAGCAACTGCTCATGGGGGAGGGCCATGTTGGTGGGAGAGAATGTGAGTAACTGGTCATAGGGGAGTGGTCATGTTGGTGGGAGATAATGTCAGCAACTGGTCATGGGGGAGGGCCATGTTGGTGGGAGATATTGTCGGTAACTGGTCATGGGGGAGTGGCCATGTTTGGGGGAGAGAATGTCAGTAACTGGTCATGGGGGAGGGGACCATGCTGGTGGGAGAGAATGTCAGTAACTGGTCATGGGGGAGGGGCCATGTCGGAGGGAGAGAATGTCAGTAACTGGTCATGGGGGAGGGCCATGTTGGTGGGAGAGAATATCAGTAACTGGTAATGGGGGAGGGGCCATGTTGGTGGGAGAGAATGTCAGTAACTGGTCATGGGGGAGGGCCATGTTGGTGGGAGAGAATATCAGTAACTGGTAATGGGGGAGGGGCCATGTTGGTGGGAGAGAATGTCAGTAACTGGTCATGGGGGAGGGCCATGTTGGTGGGAGAGAATATAAGTAACTGGTAATGGGGGACGGATCATGTTGGTGGGAGAGAATGTCAGTAACTGGTAATGGGGGAGGGGCCATGTTGGTGGGAGAGAATATCAGTAACTGATCATGGGGGAGGGATATGTTGGTGTGAGAGAATATCAGCAACTGGTCATGAGTGAGGGGCCATGTTGGTGGGAGAGAATGTCAGTTACTGGTAATGGGTGAGGGCCAGGTTGGTGGGAGAGAATGTCAGGAACTGGTCATGGGGGAGGGCCCATGTTGGTCGGAGAGAATGTCAGGAACTGGTCATGGGGGAGGGCCCATGTTGGTCGGAGAGAATGTCAGGAACTGGTCATGGGGAAGGGCCCATGTTGGTCGGAGAGAATGTCAGCAACTGGTCATGGGGAAGGGGCCATGTTGGTGGAGGAGAATGTCAGCAACAGGTCATGGGCGAGGGCCATGTTGGTGGCAGAGAATGTCAGCAACTGGTCATGGGGGAGGGCCATGTTGATGGGAGAGAATGTCAGCAACTGGTCATGGAGGACGGGGCATGTTGGTGGGAGAGAATATCAGTAACTGATCATGGAGGAGGGGCCATGTTGGGAGAGAATGTCAGCTACTGGTCATGGGGGAGGGGCCATGTTGGTGGAGGAGAATGTCAGCAACTGGTCATGGGCGAGGGCCATGTTGGTGGAGGAGAATGTCAGCAACTGGTCATGGGGGAGGGCCATGTTGATTGGAGAGAATGTCATCAACTGGTCATGGAGGAAGGGCCATGTTGGTGGGAGAGAATGTCAGCAACTGGTCATGGGCGATGGCCATGTTGGTGGGAGAGAATGTCAGTAACTGGTCATGGGGGAGGGCTATGTTGGTGGGAGAGAATGTCAGAAACTGGTCACGGGGGAGGGGCCCATGTTGGTTGGAGAGAATGTCAGCAACTGGTCATAGGCGATTAGGCCATGTTGGTGGAGGAGAATGTCAGCAACTGGTCATGGGGGAGGGCCATGTTGGTCGAGGAGAATGTCAGCAACTGGTCATGGGGGAGGGCCATGTTGGTGGAGGAGAATGTCAGCAACTGGTCATGGGGGAGGGCCATGTTGGTGGAGGAGAATGTCAGCAACTGGTCATATGGTAGGGCCATGTTGGTGGAGGAGAATGTCAGCAACTGGTAATGGGCGAGGGCCATGTTGATGGAGGAGAATGTCAGCAACTGGTCATATGGTAGGGCCATGTTGGTGGGAGAGAATGTCAGCAACTGGTCATGGAGGAGGGGCCCATGTTGGTGGGAGAAAATGTCAGTAACTGGTCATGGGGGAGGGGCCATATTGGTGGGAAAGAATGTCAGTAACTGGTCATGGGGGAGGGGCCATGTTGGTGGGAAAGAATGTCAGTAACTGGTCATGGGGGAGGGGCCATGTTGGTGTAGGAGAGAATGTCAGCAAATATTCATGGGGGAGGGCCATGTTGGTGGGAGATAATGTCAGCAACTGTTCATGGGGGAGAGGCCATGTTGGTGGAGGAGAATGTCAGTAACTCGTGATGGGTGAGGGCCATGTTGGTGGGAGAGAATTTCAGTAACTGGACATGGGGGAGGTCCATGTTGGTGGGAGTGAATGTCAGTAACTGGTCATGGGGGAGGGCCGTGTTGGTGGAGGAGAATGTCAGCAACTGGTCATGGGGGATGGGCCATGTTGGTGGAGGAGAATGTCAGTAACTGGTCATGGGGGAGGGGTAATGTTGGTGGGAGAGAATATCAGTAACTGGTCATGGGGGAGGGGCCATGTTGGTGGGAGAGAATGTTAGTCTCTGCTCATGGGGGAGGGCCATGTTGGTGGGAGAGAATGTCAGCAACTGGTCATGAGGGAGGGTCCATGTTGGTGGGAGAGAATGTCAGCAACTGGTCATGAGGGAGGGGCCATGTTGGTGGGAGAGAATGTTAGTCTCTGCTCATGGGGGAGGGCCATGTTGGTGGGAGAGAATGTCAGCATTTGGTCATGAGGGAGGGGCCATGTTGGTGGGAGAGAATGTCAGCAACTGGTCATGGGGGAGGGGCCATGATGGTGGAGGAGAATGTCAGTAACTGGTCATGGGGGAGGGGTAATGTTGGTGGGAGAGAATATCAGTAACTGGTCATGGGGGAGGGGCCATGTTGGTGGGAGAGAATGTTAGTCTCTGCTCATGGGGGAGGGCCATGTTGGTGGGAGAGAATGTCAGCAACTGGTCATGAGGAAGGGGCCATGTTGGTTGGAGAGAATGTCAGTAACTGGTCATGGAGGAGGGGCCCATGTTGGTGGGAGAGAATGTCAGAAACTGGTCATGGGGGAGGGGCTCTTGTTGGTAGGAGAGAATGTCAGCAACTGGTCATGTAGTAGGCCCATGTTGGTGGGAGAGAATGTCAGAAACTGGTCATGGGGGAGTGGCTATGTTGGTGGGAGAGAATGTCAGTAACTGGTCATGGAGGAGGGCCATGTTGGTGGGAGAGAATGTCAGTAACTGGTCATGGGGGAGGGCCATGTTGGTGGGAGAGAATGTCAGTAACTGGTCATGGGGGAGGGCCATGTTGGTGGGAGAGAATGTCAGTAACTGGTCATGGGGGAGGGCCACGTTTGTGGGAGAGAATATCAGTAATTGGTAATGGGGGAGGGGCCATGTTGGTGGGGGAGAATGTCAGTAACTGCTCATGGGGGAGGGCTATGTTGGTATGAGAGAATATCAGCAACTGGTCATGGAGGAGGGGCCATGTTGGTGGGAGAGAATTTCAGTAACTGGACATGGGGGAGGTCCATGTTGGAGGGAGTGAATGTCAGTAACTGGTCATGGGGGAGGGGCCCATGTTGGTAGGAGAGAATGTCAGCAACTGGTCATTGGCGATTAGCCCATGTTGGTGGAGGAGAATGTCAGCAAATGGTCATGGGGGAGGGCCATGTTGGTGGGAGAGAATTTCAGTAACTGGACATGGGGGAGGTCCATGTTGGAGGGAGTGAATGTCAGTAACTGGTCATGGGGGAGGGGCCCATGTTGGTAGGAGAGAAT